TGCTCTTTGCTCCTTCGCTAACCATTGTGCCGGCTAACCTCGCAGCTGCCACCAAATTCACACCAATTAGGGCAAACTGACGGCTAGCTGGAGCTTCATCCTGCTGTGAAACACTGTGAATGCATCGATCACGTATCCAGGGCTCCATGCCGGCATGCTGAGTGTGAATGCATGACATGTGTAAATGAAACCATTTTTTCTAATTTATTACATTTCAGGGAGTATTTTGAGACGAGTTTTTCACACATTAACAGTTGAAACCAGAAGTTTACATACTCTGTATAAAAAGACATAACCATTTTTTGCTTTTTTCTCACCGTCTGACATTAAATCAGACTAAACGTTTCCTGTTTTAGGTCACTTCGGATTACCAAAATTATTTATATTTGCTAAATGCCAGAATAATGAGAGAGAGAATGTTTTAGAGAATTTTTTATTACTTTATTCAAAAACAGGAAAAGTTTAGTCTGATTTAATGTCAGATAGTGAGAGAAAAAAAAAGTTTCTTTGTCTTTTTGTACAGTGCATGTAAACTTCTGGTTTCAACTGTATACACACATAGTATTGTGATGACAATGAAAATGGGATTTAGCAGTCAGCCATAGATTGTTCTACATACATGTGTTCTTGCTCAAATGCAGATATTGTGACAGAAAGGTAGTAGTGAAGTTGTTGTTGCTACAAAGTGAAATGCTGTTTTAGATTCTTGTTAAAATGTGTTTCATATGTCAGGGTCTGGGTGAAGTGCTTAAACCTTGTAGATCCTGGACAACAAGGCCACCAGTACCAGATCTGGTGGCACCAACTCTGTTTTGTGGTACAATGCAAGGACTGGTCTTATTTATGATTCATATGTTTTCTTCTTATTCTAGGTCAACTCAAACCATAATTTGATGGATTTTTAAATGTAATATTATTAAAACTAAATGCCGCTACCCAGTACATACAGCTACAGGTCCAAAACCATCAAAAGAAAAGCACCACTCTTAATGATGTTCCCATTGACAACCAAAACATTGGAGCAGTTGTGCTGTAATAATAAGAAAGCAGCACTTGGTGTGTCATTGTGCCTTAAACCAAAATGTCAGTGAAATAAGGCATTGCTGGGGCGATAAATTCTTAGATACTGGATACCTAGACACAATATTTAGTTACACTGGCACACTTGTTAAAACAACAACACCAACAAGTTTGAATAAGTTACACTTATATTTGAGGACTAGACAGCTACATGACTCCAGATGTAGTTGTTAAATCAAGAGAATCAGTTTATTGAGCTCCTCTACAGAAAATCCTGCACTGTGGGTTGTTAGTAGTCTTAATGTTACTCGGCTAGCAGGTGTTTCAGTCTGTTTAAGAGTGTTTTGCCTGTAGGGCTGCCTCAAGGCTCTTGTTTTACTGTCACAGAGGAAATCAGTTTATGGAATATAAATATGATTTCTACTGTGAAATTAAAGGATGAGTTTATATAGGTTTAGGTGCAGCATCATTCAGTGTGGCAAAACTTAAGAGACTGTCAACATCACAAAATTAAAATGCAAAATAATGGTGGAGCAGTTTGCTCTGTACAAGGATTTCTGATTTGAATTTAATAAAAGGCATTTCCTCTGCAGCAATATGATATGCTGTGTTGAGTCTGCTTCACAGCTAGAACACAGCTCGTGGAAAGAGGAGCTGCTTTTCAGCAACAGCCTGTGCATAGCTGGTGCCACACGCTGCTGTTTAAAGTTTCACACTTCAAGTTCGTTGAGGCTTTCACGAAGTGCAACAGCATATTCTGCATAATTTACACAGTGCTTGCCATTCTGATCTTAATAGAATCTCAATCACTGAATCGTTCTTGTTTTTTTTCCACTGTGCTTATTGGTTTCTTTTGTCCTGTGTCTCCTCTGTCTTCTCTGCATTGTCCTGTGGTGTGTTTGATCACAAGTCAGGGCGGTGAGACCCAATAGAACTCTTCCTCACTGCGCGTGTTACCACATTACTGATAGCTTTCCAGTGTGAGCTACAAGTTTTAATGCACAAATGTTGCCATAACAGTGTTGATTCTGGGGGGAAAAAATACAGATCACAATACCGGTCATGTGGAATTAAACAATTGTACAATAAAATAAACAATTAGTAACAGCATGTTCAAAGAAACATATAATCAAACTAATTAGCTAATTTAATTCCACAATAATCTTGTGATGCACACCAGCCCGGGAGGCATTTTCCCCGAGCTAAATCATTGGAAAAGAAGCAGATACAAAACGGAAAAAAACATTTCAACTGATCTGTTTGGTACAATAACAATTCATGTGGCTGCAGATCACAGTGAGCAATGAATCAGGTGCCGCCCTTTAATGCGCTATCCAGTTCCCTTTTAATCCATTGATCCTCCCACTTCCTCCTCCTTCCTTCTCCTATAGACTTTGAACAAATCACCCCTTCAGATCCGGAGTGTATAGCTGCTGACTCTATATCGCAGGAGAACATGTGATTCTTCCCACATCTGATCCCACACAGGCTGCTTTGAAAAAAAACCTCATTTGTACCTTTAATAATAACCATCACAAAATGCGACCAACTAAAAATCACAGATCTTGTCAGATTTTCATGCAGTTCTTTAAAAAGTAAAATACTCATGGACATTACAATATTTGGTTTTAAACATCAGAAAGGATTGCACTTGATCACAAGAACATTCTTGTTTTTCTGCAGTCAAAACTAAAGAAAACTGTATGTTACAGTTCCAAACTGTATTTGTTTACAAGGGTTGTAGATTTGGAAGGTTTAGCGAGACCATTTCAGAAACATATGTGTATAAGTTAATTTTAAAACAAAATGACAAAACACCCTTGGTAGACATTCAGTGCAAACCAAACTAAAGACAGTGTACGGTATAATAGAGTAACTTATGGATGGATGGATGGATGGATGGATGGATGGATGGATGGATGGATGGATGGATGGATGGATGAATGGATGGATGGATGGATGGATGGATGGATGGATGGATGGATGAATGGATGGATGGATGGATGGATGGATGGATGGATGGATGGATGGATGGCAATAGCAGTTAATGCCATAGTAATAACATAGTGAGAAGACAAAAAAAAAAAGTGGGAAAACATGTTGTATGAAGAAATATGGAAGTGTATTCCATATTGTTCCTCACGCCTCTCATCATACCTTCCTTTGAAAGGCTCCTTTAAATTATTCAAAAGGAAACATGTTGGTATAAGGTTTCTGAATCTCCGAGTCAGCGTTAGTAATGCAGTCACACGAGAACTGTTTTGCCTCAGCATTCCAGCAGGAGCATTATGTCCGGTTACATTGTGTGGCATGAATAGTAATCAAGCACTTGACAGTTGAGCAAAGCCAGTGTTTATATTGAGAGATGTATTAATCAGCTGTAGACCGCACAGGTGGTTGCCATGGCGCCTCTGATCCCTGTTTGCTCTTCACAGATTCTTCATTCACTTTCCCTGATTGACAGACGTTGTTGCAAAGTGCGTATTCACGCTGGGTTGTGTCTTTGTTCTTATCTGTCACTCTGCAAAACAATGCTAATGGAGACCACAGCTGCAGCAAACCTGAGACTGGCAGATGAAAGAATTTACACAATTGTTTCATAAATTAGGCAATTTTCTGATAAAATCCTGGTTTCTTAGACTGTATACACACACATCACATGCAGCCTAAGATGTGACGGTTTAGCTACACAGTGCAGAGAACTGTGCTTTATACTCATAATCTGGATCTGTAAATAAGAACTATTATTAGACTTAAAGGCAGTGTTATTCTTTTTCTCAGACTGTTCAGACGCTAACTGGACAATGTCGGTGACAAATGGGGTTAGAGTTCACATGACTCAAAGTCTCAGAGCAGCTCAGAGGTGTAAAATCATAACTGTATGCAACCTCCACTGCTGCAACATTTGGCATCACTTCCATAAACAGACTCTTTCTGAGCCACTCTAAAGGACTACTGAGTCAGGCTCACGCTGTCAGCTTCATTACTCATGGTGTTCCAAACAATGCGAGTGATAATGATGATGATGATCATTAATTGCAACCCAGCATGGCACTTACATCAGAGCATTCAGGTCCTCTGATCCTCTGACCATTTAGACTCGAACAGAAGCCGTGATCACAAAGCATTGATTTGTGCATAATGTAGCATAAACTGTAAATAAATGCATGAACTCAGTAATTAATGATCACGTTTGTTATGGTTCAGTTTGTATGCTATGCATTCATTACGTTTTGTGGCTTGTATTAAACATTTGGAACATTGTTTGAAGGGAAGTACCTTTAAAGCACATATTTATTCTGATATATTTCAGGTGAAGATGACGTGTGTTGGTCAGTGGTGCTTGCATCTGTTCTGAGCTTGGGCTATTTTCATCTCTGAGATTGAAAGCTATGGTTACCTCTCACCTGCTTCCAATTATGCTGCTTGTTGGTCGGTCTGTCAGCTCATAGTGCTGCAGATGTGAATGTGTCCTGGTGGGAGTGACTCCTCTAATCCTCCCTTTGTTACTGACTGTCAGTATCCACAGGTGGCTGAGCAAAAAGAAGAGGTGGCTCGACACACTCTCTGCCTGGAGCACATTTCCAGCTTCCCTTTATACAAAAATGCATCTGCACTGCAAATTCATGTCATGTATACACACATATTCACTCAGAGAAATATATTCACTTAAATCTCCAGGTAGTGCCCAGTGTGCTTTTTCATCATTGTTTTGTTTTCTAAAAAATGTATTTATTTTTTTGCTTTTTAGTCCAAATTTTAGAAAACTACGTTGACCTTTCATGTTTCTCATGTGGCTGCTCAGATCACTTGGTTGTAATTGACTCTGTTTGTACTATAACCAAAACCAAAAATTTTCATATTTATAATAACACGGGTTGTTGTATTCTTTTGAAATCGAAATGAAGAAGAAAAGCACTCCAGAGCCACTTGGTTTGACACAGTGTTCTGTTCTATTTTTTCTTTTTGTATCTCTGTAGATGTTCCTTGCAGCTTTGTCCTTTGCCTACTTTGCCAAGGCTTTATCTGGCAGCTACATGAAGAGCACAATTACACAACTAGAGAGACGATTTGACATCCCCAGCTATCTGATCGGCATCATAGACGGGAGCTTTGAAATAGGTGAGTTTCTCTTTTTTTTTTTTTTGGCCATGTATGTCTGTATTTAGTGGGTGTTCATGCACATGTTTTGAAGCGCTTAGATACTAATGCAAGAAGCCAAGAATATGTCTTCAGCACGTCAGCCGGCTTGTTACTGTAACATCTATGCATCCCCTTTGAGGTTTGAGTAGTCCCTGGTCGCATACCTAATTGACTGTTAATGAGCAAAAAATGCTTTGAAGCTACAGTATGTAGGCCTGGAGCCGAGGGATTTTGTAATGGTTCGCTTATTTTTTTGTCAGACTGGGGACACTGAAGGAATAATATATAATATCGCCATATGCCTTAGATAAATATGCCTGTATGCAAATATTCACACTGACTTTGATTAAGACCTACACTGGTCTCATACAGACAAATAAATAAAGTGCCTATAGAAGGTATTCTTCTTCCTTGTAAGTTTCTGCCTTTTTATTGTTTTTAAAGATTGAATCTTGGTCAATTTAATTTGGCTTTTTGACAAGAATTCACTCTTTCATGTCAAAGTGAAATTAGATTTCTGAAAAGTAATGTCAATGAATTAAAAACATGTAATGTAATATTAGTGATTGCGTAAGTGTTTACTCCTTTAATTAGGTATTGAGTTACATTTTACTGCGATGACAGCATTGAACCTCAGTGAATAGGTCTAAATCAGCCTTGGACATCTGGACGCTGCTCTGTCTGGGCCCTGACTCGGCCATTCCAAGAACATTCACCTTGGATTTCAGTTGTTTCTGTGTAGCTTTGACTAACTGTCTTGCTGGAAAAACAAATCTTCCCCGAAGTTGCACTTCTTTTGCAGACAGCATCAGGTTGTCCCTTTACCATTGCAAGCATTCTGCTGTTGAGAACCATCCCCACATCATGATGCTGCCACCACCGTGCTTCACAGTGGAGCTGGTGTGTTTGAGGTGATGTGCAGTGTTTGGTGTCCACCAAACATATGAGGTGTGTCACAAAAGTTTAAAGACTGGTGTCACAAAAGATATATTTCAAATCCAAACTATAAACTACAAGTTTTCTCCTTTGAAGTATTCCCCCTGGAGTCTAATGCACCTTCCCAGCCTTCTCTGCCACGTCGCCATACACTCCTGGAAGGATTCTTCCGGGATCCTCTGCAGCTCCGTCATTACAGCCATCTTGATGTCGTCCACGTCTTCTAAACGGATCCCCTTGATGACCCCCTTGAGCTTGGGGAAGAGGAAAAAATCCCATGGAGCCAGGTGGGGGGAGTAGGGAGGTTGCTCCAGCACGACGATGTTCTTCTCAGCCAGGAACTGTCGGATGAAGCAGCCACGACATGTCCTGCCACAACTCTCGCCTCTTCTCGTGCACTGAACGAAGCAAACGCTGCAGGATCTCTTTGTAGACGTGCCAATTGATCGTCTGAAGGGGAAAACTCCTAGTTTGTAGTGTGGGTTTGAAATACATCTTTTGTGACACCAGTCCTGGATTTTTTCTGCCACAACTCATCGCCTGTAGTCTGGAAGACAAAAAGCACAGTTTTGGTTTCATCAGACCAAAGAATCCTTTGGACCAGTTGACTTCATAGTCTCTCCCACATGTCTTCTGGCAAGCTCTAGTTGAGATTTATTATGAACCTTTTGAACAGTGGCTTTTTCTTTGCAACTCTCCCACTAAGCTGTGACTCATGAAGAACAGACAACAGTTCATCTCTGCTGCTAAAGCTTGTAGCTCCTTCAGAGGGCTCCTAGGTGTCTTGGTGCCCTTCCTTGCGAGTCTATTTCTTGCACAGTCACTCAGTATTTGAAGATGGGGTGCTCTTGACAGATTTAAGGATGCCATATTCCTTCCATTTCTCAGTGATAGATTAAATTAAACTCTCAGTGATATTCAGTGAATTGGAAACTTTCTTAACTTATCGCCTGATGTATGCTTTTCAGTAACCTTTTCAAAGAGTTGTTTGGAGTTTTCTTTAGTCCTCATGTTGTAGTTATTTCAAGGAGCACATTCACTGCACTGAGCTGATCTCCATTCCACTAATTGTGTGACATTTAGCACCAATTGGCTGCACCTGTGTTGAATTACTGAATTTAAACTGAATTTAATCACTTTAAAGGGGAGGCATACTTTTATATTTTTAATATTACTTTTTTTCACTTCAACATAAAATGATCTTTTTCTGTAAATTCTTGTCCAAAAAGCCAAATTAAATTGTCTAAGATTCAATGTTGAAAAGAAATAAAAGGGAAAAGCTTCCAGGGGGGTAATACTTTATTTAGGCAATGCCTCGAGTATAGATCAGAATCAGTTTCGACCAGAGATTACAGTGCTAAAGCATTTTATTTAAAGTATGAGGTGACGGAGATTTTCTTCACGGCAGGTATTTACTTCCTTTGATTCCTCTCCATCTCCTTTTCTGATAATTTCAACCCTGTAGGGAATTTGCTGGTAATTGCCTTTGTGAGTTATTTTGGTGCCAAGCTCCACCGACCCAAGATCATAGCAGTTGGCTGCATCTTGATGTCTTTTGGGACCTTCTTGATTGCCATGCCTCATTTCATCATTGGCCGGTAGGCAAAATGTCACGCCTGTATGCATTCACTGGTGTTAACAGATTCTGTACACACATATTTCTTTGATCAAAGCATTGAAACCCTAATGTAATGCCAGTATTTCCTGGGCCTTGAAATTGTCGTCTCTGATGTATTTATTGCGTTTATTGTATCTAACAGTACCTGATGCTTTCTCCCTTCCCTTGTTTAACAGTCACATTGGTATTTTATACGCAGCTATAAGATCGAAACATCTATTCGATCATCAGTGAATTCAACCAATAACCTCTCTCCATGTCCAGCAAGCTCACCTGAGTCCTCCCGGGCAGGTGACAGACCCCCTATACTGCCCTCTAGAGGTAAGATAAGGAATAAAATCTTTGCTGCACTTGGTCAGTGAAACACCTTGGTCTTCATGCATTTATATGTCAGTATGGTCAAAATCTTTTCCCCTTGCTTTTTCTTGCATTGTTTGTTGTGAGACCAGTATGTGTGTGTGTGTGTGTTTTGTGTTTTTTTTTTTTTAACATTGGAGGACATTGTTTGACTGCCACCTAGACAGTCACAGTAGATTAGTTAAACCTGTGCGATAGAATTGATGACATTTCTGTAACATTGCTGGAGTTGTCCTGATGTGATGTAGTCCAAAACCAAGTCCGCTTATATAATAAGGATGATACCAACATAATAATATATAATACAGCAGCATAGACATGCATGGATTAACTGTATTGCAACTTTTTAGTATAAGTCAAAATCCTTTTGTGTTAATGCTTTGAGAGTTTCACTGGGTTCCAATTGTAATTTGTCATGACATTTCCCTGGTTTTATTTCAAGCTGCAGGCTGTGAGCGCGAGTCCAGTGTGTCCATGTGGATTTACGTGTTGCTGGGGAATGTCCTGCGTGGGATTGGAGAGACTCCGGTCCAGCCGTTGGGAATCTCCTATATAGATGACTATGCACAGACGGAGAATGCTGCTCTCTATATTGGTAATGCCCCTTGCTCACTGATAGTAGCTTTGGTCTGTAGGTCCCAATCACAAAGTCACATTATTTTCAATGTAATTCATTTAAGAAGCATATTTTTTTACAGTCCTGTATCAGAATATGCATATATCACTTTACTTTCTGCTGTTAATTTGGTTTCCACTCGCTGTTTCCAAGGCAACGTCTGTTGTGCTAAGCATAATCTAAATATACACTGTGTACTATATTGTTGTAAAAATTGTATATAGTACACATATATGTGAATCTGATCTCTTGTTCACCTACGTGTATTTTGTTTGACACATTAAATAACATCTTGATACATCTACTTTCAGGTCATTGCTACATACACATTGACAATCTTAATTTTGTTGTTGGATACCATATAATTGTAGACATCTAAGAATATAAATTACAACAATACAATGATGGCAATATGAATCAAAATGTGCATAATGTTGTTTGAGCCAGAGTCACAGCATTTGGCTACAAAATAAATATGCAGGCAGTGGGACATACAACAGCATCACTTCCTTACATATAGACTTTTGATGAAAATTGAAAACTTTTCTTTTAAGTTGGTTGTACGATATAATGGATTGAGTTATTGTAGCAAATAAAGACAAATGAAATGCTGCCAAATTGACCCAAAACAATAATACAATGTTATTGGTGCCAGATGTAGCTAGATAAATACCCCCTTCTTTGTTGTATATTTTAGGTTGTGTTCAAACCATATCAATTATTGGTCCTGTCTTTGGCTACCTGCTGGGATCACTGTGTGCCAAGATCTACGTTGACGTTGGCTATGTGGACATGGGTGAGTACCACACCGCAAGGTTTAAATACGTCTAAAGCACTTAAAACTGCATTAGTTTAACGCAAATATAAATTAGGCTGATTGATGGTAATATAACTGCATGCAGAAGACATCTCTGAGTCATCTTCTAGCCATGGTTGTGCATGTTTCCACGAAACACTTTATACTGCAGTGAAAAATTAAACAAATGTAAGCAAAGATGTGACCGGGACGCAAAACAGCCAGAAATTGCTTGGGGTTCAGAGGGTCGAACAGAATGAAGCCACACAGTGCTGATCGTGTGCGTATCTCCTCACAGAGACCGTCACCATCACCCCCGGTGATGCACGCTGGGTGGGGGCCTGGTGGCTCGGCTACCTCATCGCCGGTGCTATCACCCTCATGTCTGCTGTTCCTTTCTGGTTCCTTCCTAAATCCCTGCCAATGCCTGTAGAGAAACACGATACCATGTGCACTCCAGAGCAAACCAGGTTTATCAAAGACTCACCAACCATGGAGCACAAGTTCAGACCAGAGGAGCCCCCTAATTTGCATCTGATGGCCAACGGTAAGATAATGATCCCAGCGAAAAGTGCTGTAAAACTGAGTGTTGGCTTTGTCAGTGTAAAATCTAGGGATGTAATCACTTCTATTGTCATCAGTATATATATATATTTTTTTTACCTGAGTCTCTTTTGTGACTAATTTTTCAAAAGACCACAGTATTCTCACATTTCTACCCCAAGCTGAACATTCAAGCACTTTTTAATTATCTTCACATACATTTTTAAAAAATGTTGCAATTTTAAAGACATGAGGGCTTAGCGTTCAAAACGATATGCTCATCATTAATTCAGCTGTATCATATATTAAGATGCCAGTCTGGTTAAAGCCAGACTCTCTCTTCCACATTTACTATTATTTCTCAACTGTCTGTAATAATAACATGAAACCCCCCAAAAATCTCACATAAATGTAAGTGTTATTCATTCGTTTTTAACTTGCCCACAGAATTTGTGCCCACATTGAAGAATCTCCTTGGAAATCCCGTGTACATCATCTACCTGTGTGTGACCATCATTCAGTTCAACTCTCTCATTGGTATGGTCACCTACAAACCCAAATACATTGAGCAGCACTATGGCCAGTCAGCATCAAAAGCCAACCTTCTCATGGGTAAGCAGGCTATGTTGATCATCTCTAAAGGTCAACTTGTTTTGATCATTTTTGTTCATTTTATCTTTGTAAATGAGACCTTTTGTGAAGTTAAAAGCTTGTTTAGAACCTGCATTGCTTTGCTAAAAGGGACGCATTAACGCATGCAAAGTGATGTGAGCTGGAGGGTCATCATAAGTGTTTCATGAGGCAGCTTTGAATTTTTTATACTCCGACTCCCAATTCCCTCTTAAGTAAACGTTGCAGCTTCAGTATGACAGCCCGGTTTACAGCTTTCCTTGGACTTTCTGAAATGACAGGCATTGATTTAAAAGCACACAGATTAATGAGACCACTTAAAAGGTCAACCTGATGCAGCTGGAGATGCTGTAATCCCCATTACTGAAAAGAGTGATGAGAATAACACTCTGTGTCTTCTCAACCAACAAAAGAATTTTTTATCTTTCACAACACAGCTTTGGTTCTTTGAATTCCACTCCTTTGATTGAGCGTTCTGACTTTGATCCCTGTTAGGGAGCGACGCTGCTTGATTAAGCTGTTTCCTGATTCTCTGTGCCTTTTAAGAATGAGTTGTATTCTGCGGTTTGGATAGGCATGATCAACATCCCGGCCGTGGCCGTTGGGATGTTCTCTGGAGGAGTTGTCATGAAGAAGTACAAGCTGGGTATCATGGGAGCAGCTAAATTTGCTTTTGGGACCTCCCTGGTGGGCTACCTCCTGTCACTCCTTTTCTTAGCCTTGGGCTGTGAGAACTCCAAGGTGGCCGGCATCACAGTGTCATACACCGGGTATGTAATATGTGAACCTGTGCCTTCTGTCCTACTCAACCAGATAATAGTCAAACAAGGAACAAGTTTAGGTTATGGAAGATTATGCTTTTAAAGATTCTAGCTATTGCACTTCCTAGGGTTTCCTTTGTGTTGTGCTGCTTTTATCTGTCTCTCCCATGCACGTCCTGCTTTCATATTTGATCAATTTTTCATGCGAGCTGTCAATAAAATATGCATTTTCTCATGTTGTCACACGCAGAGCGGAGGACTTGTCTTATCAGGAGCTCTCTCTCTTCTCTGACTGTAACTCGGGTTGCTTGTGCTCAAGGAGAGAGTGGGATCCGGTGTGTGGAGAGAACGGGATCACCTATGTGTCCCCGTGCTTAGCTGGGTGCACCTCCTTCAGCGGCTCTGGCAGGAACACGGTCAGACACACACCACTGCCCGCGTGACACTTTTTAAATTTCTCAGGATAACAAATAACTCCCATCCACAGTGTTTTACTCGGGCTTGATTCCTGTGTTTCGTTCATATCGAGTCTTTTTGTGATGCCTCAGAATAGCGAGTGACATTTCAGTTGTATTTGCATGCAGTGCGTCCTGCTGTGCTGCCCTCATCCATTATTGATTAACTCATTGTTTTTTTGTCAGGTGTTGGACGATTGCAGGTGTGTAGCGGCGGCTAATCCCCGACCAGGCAACTTGACAGCCACTCTGGGCCAGTGTACGCACAGGGACAGCTGTGACAGAATCTTTCCATACTTCATGGCTCTGTCGGTCCTCAGTTCCTTCATCATCTCTCTTGGGGGAACACCCGGCTTCATGCTGCTTGTCAGGTCCGTCAATAACCCCCCATGTGAACTCATGGAAAATGCTGACTCATCGGCACAGATGTTCCATAAATAACAACAACAACAAAAAAAAAAAATACAAGTTAAAGGACTTTTTGTACTTTTGCACCCTAGAACAACTTATAAATGTTAAGTGTGTTGGTACTATTCTATCATCCAGTGAAGTGCTGTAAGTCATTGTCATTCTTTAGCGGTTTCCAGGTTGAAAAGTTGAATCTTATTTAACACCCTGGTCTTCCTTCTGTAGGTGCATTAAGCCTGAGCTAAAGTCTCTGGCTCTTGGAATCCACACACTGGCCACTCGTACCCTTGGTGAGAACCACTTTTGGTATTCTGTACATTACTGTCGACTGAGTTTGAATGTCAGGCACACAGAAGTCGCCTAAAAGCTGACATTCAGCTTGAAGTATGAGTGGAGCAGACTTACTGGAAGAATGTCTTTATTGTGCAAATCATCACTTGAAGGTCATTGTTAAAGTTTCTATAATGTCCACCAAGTATGTAAGCATCTGTTGTTCATTAATTATCCATATCATGATTACCATAGGTTATTTTATGTGAATCCAGATTTTTCCATTTGATGAATATGTTAAAGTCACCCTGAATATGAAGTAACAAGTTGTTTCATGTTGTACAACAGCTGGAATACCTGCCCCCATATACTTTGGAGCCATAATTGATACAACCTGCCTCAAATGGGGATACAAAACATGTGGCGGAAGAGGAGCATGCAGAATATATAACACCTCCGCTTACAGGTAATCTTTCCTGACACCTGCATGCAGCACTAGAAATATCTATACTTTAATGATTTAGTGACCCTGCAAGGTGGTAAAGCTCAGTAACACAATTGTCAGACTGATGAAAAATGGAAACACAGGGATTTCTATAGTTTGGCATCATGTTGGTGCCATTGGAAAGACAATGCGACCTGCAAATATCTTTAAAAGCTGCTAAAGGACTGACATTTTTAAGCTGCTGCAAATAATGTGCATTTATTCAACCTGTTGTTTTTCTTTCGTATTGACCAGGAAATGTAGTACTTAAAAAAATATCTGAGGCTTAAGAAGTTTGATCTAATGCACACCTAGTAAAAAATGAAATGTGGAAAAAAATACTGAATTCCCACACATGTTCAGCTCGGAATTTATTAAACACAAAGCTTAAAGTGCAATAATTCAACCTTTTCTTTATTCTGAGCCCTGTTAGTTGTATAAGATTGTGGAATTATCAGTTGAGCAGCAAGTGTGTTCAGTCCACGTAGCTTGAGAACAAAATTTTATTGAAAGGTTGCATAAAAATGTATTGAGGGGAAATTCTATTTAAACAATTTAAAATGGAAAAAAAAAGTCTAATTTCTTCGCTGTGTACCTTCAGACATTTGGAGTTTGACTTTTTTCCTTTTTTTTGTCATCAGGATCGTGTACTTGGGCCTGACACTGGGCTTAAGGACAGTCTCTTTCTTCCTTTGTATTCTGGGGTTTGCTCTACTTAAAAGACATATTAAGAAGGAGGAGAAAAATGCACTGACCAATGGAAATGCCGAGTTGGAGTCACTGAGGAAAGAGGAGAGCAGCTCCTTACACTGTGAGCAGTTTATACTGGCCCTGGACTGCAATCCAGACAGAGAGACTCGCTTGTGAGCACATCCTCTGACTCAGCTAGCAAAGCACGTCACACGTACTGAGGAACACACACTGTGGACAGATTTTGTAGCGCACAGAGTATATATTTGTACAGGTTTTGTGTAGTTGTGCAATATCTGAAATGGGTAAATTTTTTAAACATGTATGCTGTTTCTGGACTGTATACAAGTTGGTGTTTTTCATGAATGGAAGACTTTTGTAGAAAAAAAATTGAAAAGAATGTAATTGTGCTGTGTTTTCTGTGTTTTTCGTTTTTATGATTAAACTTGATAAAATCAAAGCTTGCATTTAACAAGGTGCCTAAATAAGACTGCTAATATTCACCGTATCAGTGTTCATGGCTCTGCCTTCAGCCCATATGTGCACCAAACACCTGGTTTAGGAGCTACACATGCGGCTGCACTGAGACAAAGGGTGCTTTTCATTATGTGAGTGTGTCTACCCTCTTCCCTCACTCTCCTTTCTTCTTTGTATCTCCTCCCATGAAGATGCGAGAAGTAGGATAAACCTGTATTTCCCTGCCTAAAGCTCCCCCAGAAACCCTTTGTCCTCCCGTCTCCTCAGTGTGTGTTTACGGGATGGGAAGATGCTGCGTAGTGACGGAGGGGAAATGATTTCCAGGTCGCAGGAAGAGAGAGGACGCAAGGAAGCATAAGTTAGCATAATGAAAAGCATCCAAAGTGTTTCAGTCTGTGAATGAATCGGTCAACGGGCAGATCAAAGCTAAGAGCAACACAGAAACAGCTGCCCTCCGAGAGATTATCTTGATTGCCTACAGAAGGGAAACCATCGCTCACTGTGCAGACGTCACAGAAAGTATGACTTCAGTCAGATTACGATGTCGTACCTAAAGAACAAACATTCTAACGTTCTTGCAAATTGTCAAGAAGTGTAGCTTAAAGAAATGCTACTTTTGTGAATAAGTGAACACAATGTGATGTGTATACTGCATTGTGCATCTTGGCTTTGATAATGAGGCCTGTTGCAAAACCTAAGACAACTACAGTGCGTTGTATGTTTCGTATAGTCATCAGTGTGCCTGATCATGATGCTCATTGCATTTTGTTTACATGTTCTTTGTTGTGACAATGTGGCCTTTTCGGCAACTACGTGACCGATTTCAGCATGACTGTGACTATCTGACACTTTCTCTGTTTACTTTTCTTGCGTTTGTCATACACCATTCAACAAATGATACTATAAAATGCCAAATTAAAACCAGTAGATCTAACTTTGGAAAACTGGTGTTGGAAGACAAAGACACAGTTGACCAATTAAAGGAAGAAGCATAGTGTCTTATTCAGGTTTTGGGCCACCAGAGCAGCTTCAGTGCTCCTTAACACTGATTCTCCAAGTGTCTGAAGCTCTACTGAAGGGACGAACATCATTCTTCCAAAAAGAATTTAGTGTTATGATGATACCGGTGGAGCGCGCTGTCTAACATGTCGGTGCAAAATCTCCCAAAGGTGTCATATTGAGTTGAAATCTGGTGACTATGAAGGTTGTAACATCATTTTCACACTCATCAAAACACTCGGTGACCCCTCGTGCCCTGTGCATGGGAGCATCCTGGGAGAGACCACTCCCATCAGGATAGAAGTGTTCCATCACAGGATTAAGGTGATCACTCTTTGTATTGATTTGCAATGACTCTTCTCTCTAAGGTGCCAAGTGGAGCTGAACCATGGCAGCAAAATGATCCCCGCCCTCGCTGTCGGGGTCAAGAGGTTCAGGTTTTTCCTTCAATTTGTCACCTGTCGGCTTTTTTTTTAAAAACTGCTTCGTCTGGATTAAAAGTTTACAGTAAATCTAAACAGAGGTGAAGCACCTGTGTGACAGACATACACTTATGGTTGTAATAGCAGTAATTTAGCATTTATTATTGCCATAAAAATGATGATAAATGACATCTATAGGGCATGTATACACTGGTCATTATGTGCTAACTGGAGGAACACATTCTGGTGCTCTGTTATTACGAAAAAGGTGAAATCAGTAAAAAATCTTTTTAGACCTTATTAAACATCAAGATTAGCAATAAGCATGAAGCCCTGAGATAATGTTTCCCATTCATTCAGAGACTTTTAATTGTTATTACAAAAACATACAAAAAGACACAATGTGTGCTCATGAAACAGAGTTCAGTTCACTAACCATTTACACATTATTGTTTGCCCAATAGAGTGTAGACTACAACTTTTTCTAATCACATCTATTAAAAAAATAAAATAAAATGTCCACAGTCTCACTAAAATAAGAAGAAAACGTATCTCTGAAGGGAGCAAAAACAACATGTTTGTATTGTATCCCAGTGTTTACTGATCCTTCTTGTCTTCTGCACTCTGAAGATTCTGTGGATCAAATACAGGATTAAAAACAGAATCACTCCAGTAATAGCAGAGTGAAGATACATTAGCTGTTCTGTGTTACCTGCAGCTGATGGTGTTCCCTCAGCAGTCTGTCGTACTCGTGTGCCAGACCTTTGGCCTGCCTCCGCATTGCTTCCACTTCAGCACGAGACTTCTGCACAACTGCACAAGTAAAACTCACGCTCAGCAAATTGCTCTATGTGCCATCTAAGCCCCATTAAAATGATCTGTCATAATGCCACCACTTTCGTTTTCATGCAGGGATGATGATGATTCATGCTCTGCTAATGTTTAATAGTGCTATCTCTGTTTTGTTTTTTTTACTTTTGTAAACCATTACTGCAGACTCTCCTGTTGGAAGGAAGGGATGATTACTCACCGTCCTCGGCAGCCTTTAGCTGACCTGCCAGCTTTTCAACCTCCAGCTTCAGCTGCTGGTTTTTCGCTGACATGGATTTTTCCTCTTCCAAGAGAGCCTGAGTACAAAGGATTCCCCTTAATTGCCAGGCTAATTATTTTAACAGCAGACGACGCATGACGTACAAAACAGAAATCATAAAAAACAAGGCTCTGTGCAAAAACACAGTATGGATTAATGCGTACAGTGTATTTAAGAGGTGGATGTGCCACAAAAAATACTGCAATGTACAATTATGTTGCAGTTTAGGTTCAGAGTACGTTACAGTAAGAAGAAAACCTTTAACTGGCTTCACAAGACAAAAAGTGAACTGTAAGTGTTGTCATATGTCTCGAAATAACTATTTCTCACTTGTTTGAGCATCAAGTTGTCCTCCTGGTGCTGCTTGGCTGCTTTGACAGCGCCGTCCATCTGCGCCTGAAGACCTGCGCTGTTCTCCAAGGTGACAGCAGCCTGGTTTAGTAAGGTGACAACCCGACGCATGATACTGTGTCGAGGTTAGAGGACAGGAAAGCAACAAGAACCAGAGGGAGAATAAAGGCAGACCTCAGAATATGAACTGTGAATGATGAAGAAAACAAGTGGGTAAGTCATGTTTGCGTTCATTCTGAATGAATATGGAATAAAAATGAAACTAACAGCCAGAGAAAGAGAGAGAAGCCACATATGTAGAGGTTCCTCTGGGCTCTGAACAGCTTCATGTGAACGTGGTCGTACACATTCGGGTTCACTTTAGCATCTTGCATGGGTTCAGGACCCGAGTACTTCTGCACCTCACGGACAGCATCTGAAGGTAGAGAGGAGGACAGGAACATGTTGGCTGGGCTGGACAAGCAACATGCTCAGTATTATTCTCTGTCACTCACAGGAGACTGAGTGAAAGCAGATTGCTTACCGAGGAAAAGAACAATAAGGGCCATTATCATGGTGAAGAAGCATTTGTTCCAATATGGAGATAACCAGCTCCATATTCTCCAGCTGAAAACCAAACGCCATCTGCAAAGTGGGCCAAAAGGACACTGAGAGTGCAACTGTCATCTGCATGGGAAGGACTTTGATGCACTCTGCTGGTGGTTTCTGTAAACTGCTTTTTTCATTTTTTTTTTTTTTTTAAAGTTACAGTCCAACTTGCATGTTCTGAAACTGGGGTGTTGCACAGAAACTTCTGATCATGTGTTGGCTTTGTGTTACCTCTGCGCTGATATGAAGGGGATGCACAAGATGAGGTTGACTGCTATTTCTGCGTACAGGAAGAAAGCAACAGCTGTCCACTGGAGAGTCATGGTGACTGAGGTTTTCTGTGGGGATGAAGAGGTTGGAATACGTGCAGCATGAGTAAAAACATCTAAGCATCTAATTTAATTAACATGTTTCTCTATTAAATTTGAGCGTTTCTCACTTTAAAAAAAAAGGGAACACTATATATCTTCGTGTACTACATGCTGCTGCTCTCTCACACTGACTTTATGAGCAAACACACAAATCTTCCTGCAGGCCTACAAACAACAGGAGGAATTCACAGCCCTTTTGTTATTTATAGGCTTTTACCTCTAAATGTATCCTCACTCTTCAGACGCGACCATCGGCTGCTGTTTTGATTTTTATTTCAGACTGGGAGGTAGTCAATCAGTCTTTAACAAACTTTAAACAGAGCTGTGTTCTTACCAGACGGAGCTGTCCGATGGCAAGTGTTGGGAAGTCCGGAGGCGCGCACACACATGCGCTCAACCACGTTCACGACAGCTGCTGGGGAACATCAGAGGAGCTGCATGCCTAAATAAAACCCCGCCGGTTGACCTTATCAGTCAGTCCCATCGGATTCGTTCAAAAGAAAAAAGAAAAAAAGAAAAGACAAGCTTGGTTTTGAATCTGCAGAATGACTAGAAGATGTGTTTTTTGTGCGCTTGGAGCAGGATTTCCCCCCGTGGCGTGTGTTTGCAGCTGCCATCTCACATGACATGTCATGGTATAAAAATAGTCCAGCACTAGTTGCTAATGAACCCTCTGTGGTTGATATTTGTTCCTTGATTTGTACTATAAACAAATCAATGAAAAACTGATTCCCTGTTGTCACGACATTTTTAAGATGTGCACATTTCTAATTGGATGTTTCCCAAAAGAAACCCAACAAGGATCCACAAGGGGGCGATGTTGTCTAGAGATAGAAGATGTTTCATGAGTACAGTCTGTGATGGAGGCCTCAAGTAAGTAGTATTGCATGTTTTGCAATTATCTGACTGGTTCTTATATAATAATGGCATACACAGACATCCACCGTCGTGGACAAAGGGTTTCATTTACAAAGCAACGCTATATAAATAGTTGTTATTGAAATCACAAAGGCTTATTCATCACCAACTTGAAAACACTGCTCTTTTTGTGTGCACAAATTGGCTATTGGCTTGCTCGTGAACACATAAATTGCCTCTGGGTGTTTGAGAACAGAATGAACAGAAACTAGGGAGGAATCTTGTGTGTGTGGTCTTCAATACCATCTTCCTTTTTAATAAAAAGAGTTTTCTTTTTCTTTTTTGGCAGGATTCAGCTCCTAGGACTGTTCTGTATATTTTGCCCTCTCCGATGCATTCAGTTTGTAAAGTGTATTCACATGGGCTTCCTCTGTGAAAAAGACTGATAGCTGCTATCCTCTTTGACTGCATGTCTCAGGAGTGCCAAGGAGCAAAAATGTTTACAGCTGCACCCTGTGATAGCTTTTTGAGAGCGGGTAAATGACGATGGCAGAGCTGAATGTGCTTTGATTGCTCTTCTCTCCTCACCATTTCAGAGGCTACACCTAACTGTTTGTGCCCACAGCGCCTCCACAGAGAGGCATCCATAAACATGAGTTTATTTGCACTCACCCAACAGTTTAGTAGGAACACCTGTACACCTGCTTGTGCGTGCAATTATCCAATCAGCCAATCATGTGGCAGCAGTGCAATGCAAGGAATCATGCCGCTACAAACCTGGAATGAACAGTTTGTCACATGAAATCAAAATGGAGGGGAAAAAAAAGACGTGGTTTCTGCGACCATGGCACGGCTCTCGGTGCCAGGTGGGCTGATTTGAATATATCTGGAGCTGCTGATCTCCCGGGGTTTCATGCGCAACAGTCTCTAGAGTTTAGTGGTGGAAAAACAACAACAAGAAAACCCACATCCAGTGAGTGAAGGTTCTGTGGACTGAAACAAGTTGTTGACAAGAGAAGTCAGAGGAGAATGTCCAGACTGGTGTGAGTGGACAGACAGGCTGTGGTGACTCAGATAATCACTCTTTGCAACTGTGTTGAGCAGAAAAGCATCTCAGTATGCACAACGCGCTCAGCCTTGAGGTAAATTGGCTGCAAAAGCAAAAGGCTGTGTCGGGAGATTTGCAGCATGAACGTGCAGCTGACAAATCTGCAGAAATTACGTGACGCAATAATGTCAACATGGGCCAGAATCTCTAAGGAACGTTTCCAACATCCTGTGGAATCCGTGCCGTGAAGAATAGAGGCTGTTTTCAGAGCAAAGAGAGGGTCTACCCAGTGATAGTGTGCTGTCCCTATTAAAGCGCCCAGGGAACACAGGTCCGACCTCCACACCTGCTCCCTGAGGGGTGGCACAAAGAAGCACATTTCAGCCTTCCTGTGTCCATCATCTCATAATTTCAGTCACTATAAATAAGCTCCTCACAGCAGCTGGCTGCAGGAACATTTGTACATTTTGGACTTTTTCCACAATAATGGCTCAGCATCAACATCCAGTTGTCTCATTGCTCCATGTAACAGTGCAACTTTAAAAATGGCAATGAAAATATGAACGCTTTCTCTTTCTCATGTGACAGAATGTAAGTAATTTTCTTTATTTCTTTGTTATTTAAACTGAAGGGAAAATACAAGCAGCTGCCTTGCTAGACTCCCATCCCTCTGCTCTGAGCAGTGCGTGACTGTGAATGGCAGAGAACGTCTGACAGATAAGGTCCTGACAGATTTATAAAGTGCTGTCCTTGAGAAACACAATTATTATTAAGCAGTAAACAAGACCCAGGCACATTAAACCCCCATATGGTGTCCAGATGGTGTTTTTTATTTGCTGGAAAACATGAGAGAAATAAGAAATCAATGCAATAGATGAGCGTCGCCACCCTGAAACTGGAGCACAACGATGACAGTCTCAAAAACAAAGGGTCAGACTTCACCAAAAATCAGGAACCAGTCCAACATTTGAAGTGATTCCTTGATATCATTATTCTTCAAAATCGATTATTGGTTTTTAAAAAAATCTTCTAAATCTGAAACTTTGATTCACAGATGTGGGTTTTTAAGGGTTAAATCAATGCCTAGAAAAGACTTTAAATGTTTTATTTTCAGTTACAGGTTAACAACTGAAAATAAATCATGGCTGCAGTCACGGTGGGTCACTTTTATTTCTGCATCTTGGTCTTTTTTTTTGGCCTCTATGGTTGATCACCATGTAAATTAAACATGTTGTCAAGGTAGGAGGTACCGAGCTTCATGAGTGCAGCTCACACTGTGCCGCAAATTGCCTCATTACATGCTGGAGGTGGAGACAGTCACGTTGACATCAATGCAGTATTGAAGAGCCACAACAGCAGCACAAAATCCAGGCTATTGACTACACCAATTCCTCTATCCTTGCCCAAGGACAAGTCATTTGGGCTCTCATGTTCCTTAAAAGTGCACTTTCCTTCCTCCACTTCCTGACATCGCAAGACAAAGTCAGTGTTTCCAGCCCCCCTAAGAGGTCTTATTAATAGTCAGCCTAAGAGCTTACACACTGAATGTTCCTGTAGGGGGCCCACTACGATGTCGGGTTTAAACAAATTTCAGTCAGAGGAATTTATGTACATGTTGTCTTTATGTCAGTTACAGGCTTCTTGGCAAATCTTCAAGACATCTAGATTCAAGACATGCAGCAAACAGCATCTTTACCTTGATCACTTTTAAAGTCATTGAGTGGGCAACAAATAAAGAGATATGCACAAAGACACATAACACTGGTCTTCTACTGTTCATGGAGCTCAGCACTTTTTCTTGTTGCCACTGTGTTCAGCCTACAATGCAACCAAGCAATGCATCGTATGCTAACTCGGTCACCAACTTACCCTCCTTTTATGGCATTAAAGTCCAGAGTGGTTTCTACTCCTGACTTCAGATTCTTGAAGCGCTTTCATGAAAACCACATTTTTCTTTTTTTTTCTCAGTTTTTGTAATGTAGGACACCAGGGATGTTCCCGTCATCAACCCAGACTTGGATGAATTAACAAGCCTGTTCCATGCAGTGGAAAGTTGGAGTGGGAACAGACGGAGAGAGACGCAATGACAAACATCTTTTCTCCTCTGGAAGGGTGAGGTAAGGTAGATAAGTTTACTTAAGGCCATTTACTTTATGGTCCTTTTGATTTTGAAAAGAAAATACATGACCCTGGAAGAACGATATGAATATTAAATAAGTTAAAAGGCAAAAAAGAGACAACTTTGTGTCTGCAAATGGTCCCTGCAGGTGTAAAAATAGTGCTGTGCTTCCTTTCCTTGACTATTAATGGCACGTTTGCTAGTGCAGGACAGCTACTACCAGCCATGAGAGCATCCAAACGTAACGACCAAGCTCAGGATGTTGGTATGTATAGTTTTGAGCTGCTTTCATTATTATCAATAACTTTTTAAGTCAAGTCCCTGTGGTTCATATTTCACATTTAATACAACACCATAGTGCTTATCTATAGAGAAATATGACTCCTGTTACAATTTGTACCATTTACCATGTGTAAATGTTAACATTAAGACTTTACAGTAGTATTTATCATACATGATTACCACATTCAAATATTAAGTTTAAGAATCTACATGAATTTTTATTATACAAATTGACCTGACAAATTTAAATATTAAGCTTAACTGTGGTTAAAAGTCATCATCATTTTGATCATATTGTTATATATCTCTTTTTGGATTAAAAGGGAATAGAGCATAGACAGTTAATCTCTACAAAATTGCCACGTTATTCTTAAGCTTGAGCAAAAGTCTGAGTCATATTGGGCTCTTTAGGGTGATAATACCATCGGTGTTTAAAAGTCAAAAACGCTAATAGGAACCTACTGGATGATCTTCATTTTTAAAGACTTGTGATGTGCAGTATGAAGCCTTCTGAGTAAAACATTTTACAGTTGAAAAGTGAGCTTGTCACCATTCACTGGTGTCTAAACTATGCAGTGGAATCACATTTCGATACTGCAATGTCTTTGACAAGACCACAAAAATTCGAACCCAAATGCACGACTCCAAAAACGTTCTCAAACTGATTTATTTACAGATGTATCAACAGAAATATCATTCAACAATAAAAAACCAAAATTCAAAGCGTCACTCTAACGAGGACAATAAAGAACCAAAAAATCTCTCGATGGAGGAAATACAAACTAAAAATCACTCAATGAGGAAAAACTAAACAATCTTTCTAAACAAAGTAACAACTCAAACACTTGACTAGGGAAGACGCTGAATACAAAGTAGTAAACAAAATACAAAATCTGACGGTAGTTTCCACAAGGGACATGAACGGGGAAATCCTGGACATGAAGAGGGCTAGAACGTGAAGCTTGACTCAATGACAAGACGAACTGGCACAGGACAAAGGGAGACGCAGACTATATATACACACACAAGGTAATGAGGAACAGGTGGAGACAATCAGGGCTGGGTAGACAATCAGACACAGGAAACACCGGGGAGAGGGCAAGCTTCCTGAAACACGAGGGCAAAGAGGTTTCAAAATAAAAGCCACGAGACAACACAAATACAAGACAAAAAACTAAATAAAACCTAACACCTGGTACGAGACATGACAGTCTTCTTACCGTCAGGCCAACAGCTATGACAAAT